GGATAAATATCCGAGGGAATGGTATACATAAATCGTAAAATTGTTTATTAAAATAATAAAACACGTTAAAAAAGTAAAAATTTTTTTGATGATGGAGTCGACGAAGTTTTCTTCTAAAGTTAAATCAAATAAAAAGTTAATATGTTCAGTGAAAAGCTGCAATAGCACTTCAGACATAGATCTTCACTCTTCACCTACATTAACTACTTTCCAATAAAAACTAACCGTTTTATATATGTAAAAAATATATTCGGAAAATTAGAGAAAAAAGTAAACTAATAGAAGCTTGGATGAAAGCAGTAGGTATCAAAGAAGTGAATTCCGGAATAAAAATTTGTTCACGTCATTTTAATGCACATGATTATATTTCAGCAAGTATTTACCATCAGCCATAACCTTAATATTTAAAACTAGAATCATACTAAAATTATAAAGTGAGAAATTATTTATTCCTTTGTAATTGATTTAACACAATTCTAATGATGCTATATAAGTATTTTGAGGTTAAGAACCTACCTGCTGCAATACAATAAAGTTGCAATAATGTGTTTGGATTAAATCGGATTTACACGTGCAAGTCATTGATATGATATTGCTTAAATCACCCAGAATCATCTCACCAATTATATAACGTGAATCACTTTTTAAATCCGATGTTTGTAAAAAGTAGGCAGTACACTTGACGGAATTTGAAGGCTATCTTCCGGATTTGTTATTTCCGAATTTTATAATGTGATTGAGATTAAAAACACGCTCACCTTCAACGAAATTTCCTTTCCGAGGCTTTGTGTCAGCCCAATCACATATTGTGTCAATACTTATCATTTTATCGTAATTTAAAAATTTGGAAATTGCACGGTACACTATAGGAACTACGATAAATTTTCCCTAATCGACGCCATGTTTTTAGGCTCCTCCCATTTGACGGATCCCAATAGTAGGTATTGTAAATATACACTATCTTATAATATGAGATGCCGGTCACTAACAGTTGACTGTAATACCGATATGCGCATGCCCGCCTTTCTATTCTAATAGCCTATCGCGTCGCGAGACAAAACGTCGCACAACGTGTCGTTTCATAGCCTTGAGATTTTACTCCCATCGAGCTCAAAGTAGTTTCACTTCAAAAATAAAAATTGTAAACGCGTTGTAGTTTTCCCACTAAATAAATGTAATAGCTTTGTGGTTGGTTAGTTGCAGTGAATGTTTTTGGCTTATCAGTTTCAAAAAAAAAAAAAGAAAATTACGATCGTCTTTAGACGAACTATGCTGAAGACATAAAACGGCATTTTTACTGCCACAATTTAACTTGCAAAATGGCTAAAGCAATAAAGGTTCTAATATCCCATGACGTGACAGTTTTACGATCGGTTTTGAAACTGTTTTGACTTACGATCGGTCAACAACTAAGTTTATGCATCTACGTATTTTAATAAACGCTAAAAATCTTTACGCGAACATGTGTAAGTAAACTTTATTTTCAATAATTAAAATGAAAAATACAGTGGAAAGACTTTTGACGGCGACTTGAAAACTACAAATTTGCTCCGTTAAACATATGTCGGAGGCCTCGGCAAAGCCTTTATCAAAAAAGCTCCAAGCTCTAAGCCCAAAGCCTTTTCTTAAAGTACACTAGCCCTTAAAGTCTCAATTAAATATATTTTAAAATCGAAGAACTTCAAAATATCAGTTATTTCGAAAGCAATTAAATTCAAATCCTTAAGCACTTTGATTTTCATATTTATTATTATTATTTTACCTAAATTAACTTATGTTTGCCACACCTGTTTCAGTACCTTAGAGAAAAAAACTATCCCCTATCCCTTTTAGTCGGATTAATCCACCCCTTCACAAATTCATAGTATTCTTCCCAAGTTATACCATCCTCAGATCTCTCTAACACATGCTTCAAACATTCTACCTTCTTGTTACATATGTTACGTAGTTTGTCCTCTTCCTTTTTTAAATATTTACATCCTGTACACTCATTTGCTGCCCTAAATTTTACCAGCACGCTTATTTCCCTTCCTCCTTCTAAATATTCTCAGCACCACCGCATATCTTGACTGCTCTGTTTTGCTTAGATCCTCTAACTTTATCATTTCCCTACATCTGTTCCTCATCAGTTCCCATCTATTGACCCCTTCCCTAAACCACTCCCTCACCTGCTTCTAATTCAATTTTTAATATCTTCAATGCCCTCTCCTTTCCTCCATCTTATTTACTTTTCGTTAATATTTCCAGTACCTTTTTCTTCCTAATTGCAATACTTACTTAACATATTTTTTTATTCGCATTTTGTCTGTCGCAGTCTTGGTCTTGCTTACTCGGTCATGGCCTTGACCTTGTTCTTGCTCAAATATTTCTAGTCTTGGTCTTGATCTTGGTCATGCTCATTTAATCTGATACTTACGTATAGAGAATGGTGTCGATAATTATGAGTGTTATGAAAACTGGAGAACTTGCCCCTCCTCCAATATATAAATTGACCTTTTAAAGAATAAAATAGTACAAGGTGAACATGTCTTGCATTTTTGCAAAACCAAGACTGCAAGCCGAAGACCAATTTTGCTTATCACTATTCGTTATTTGATATCAAACACAGACACAAAAAAGTAAGAGCTAAATTTTCGTAGAAACCATCCTTTTGCGGTTCTAAACTACTTCCAATCCGCGAAATTAGGTAAACGTGGTATGTAAGTACTGAAATAGATGTAGGACATATGTCAATAAAAAATAGGCAAGATACGTAGGTGGGATACCTTTTTAGGTCTAGTCAGAGACATATTAGAGGCAGAAACAGGAGTTAAGAGGAGTAGAGGCAGACCTAGATTAGATTACTGTTCGCAAATAGTAAGGGATGTGGGATGTTCTAGTTCTAGGAAAATGCGAAGATTAGCTCAGGATAGGAAGGAGTACAGGTGCGTGTTCAACCAGTCTTAGGACTGACAACCTTATGATGATGATGATGATATGTCTATTGGGAATACCATTTAATAAAAAATCATCCTCACATATGCAGTGAAAAACACGTATAAGCATAAGAAGTATAAATGTAAACTCTTTAAACTGAAATTTCTTGAAAATCACTAGTTCCATGAAAATTTGATAACGATGATTGCTAAGAGAGAGAGAGAGACCATTAATGGTTTGTCGGAAATAGTTTATCGTGACCTTTTAGTTCGTGCATCATCTTCAACAGCACGTATCGATTAAAAATTTTCGTAATGATTTTATAAAGAACCACAAAAGTAAGGTTCGTACGAAAATATAGCTTTCAGGGAATTTTTCCAAGGTTTGGTGTCTTTTTGCCATTATTCTGCGAATTATATTATTTGGTTCTCAGTTTTGTCGTTATAAATTTTGTCGACACGGATCCGAATATTCTGTCATGTGTCATGCAACTTTATCATGTAAATTTATCTGTATGCGAGCCACAAAAAAAATGTTCTGGGGTTTTTGCGAGTTGGGGTTAAGCGAGACGAAAAAGGAGAACTCGGATGACCGGCGCTGTTACTGCATATCGGACACAGTTAGTGCTAGCAGAATAGATTGCCTTTTAGTCATTGTACAAACGCATTTTGTATTATATAAGTAGATTACCGGACCTGTGAACAACATCCATTCAACACATTTCTCGAATAAAATAAAATAAAAAACAAAAATTATATACTTGAACGAATCAAGGGAATTTCAGTGAATCTTTAAAATTAAAATTAAATAGTTCTTTTTGTGTAAATCTGTGCAAGAAAAGATATAGGTATTTCAGATTGTGTGTGCATTTAACAAAAATAAAATTAACCGATATGTATGTTACCGGAAATGTATGAAATCCGTCATTGTATATAATTCCTAGGAAATGTATGCAATTCCTGAAATCGAACGGAAATGTGTGAAAAAAATTATATTAGACACATTTCCTAGGAAATCTATATATTTCCTAAACAGCAATCGGAAATGTATTACAGGTATTAATACTAAATAGGCAATAATGCGGTAGTCTGTTTGGAGATGTACCTATATACATATGGTGACGTCATTGTTTGGTTAGGGAGATTGATGACAGACTGGAATTTCTTTAATGCCCCTGGTGATATGTTAGATGTTAGAATAATGTGACAAGGTTACCTTTGTTTCAGCAAACACGATGACCTTGAATTTTTAGTGTGTTGTAGAGGTAATAATGCTTATCATTTTCATATATATGTATATATATATGTTGGGCGCGCAGATCGGAGATCATAATGAAGCATACTTTTTGAAGACATTATTCCAACATATTAGCCAGGAGCGTTAATGATACTCCAGTCTGTCATAAATCTACCTAATAATCATACAATAACGTCTCTAATGCATATACATCTCCAAACTTAACCTTACCAAACAATAATGTCACCAATACATATACATCAGGCGATCACACTGGAACCAGGTAAATACAGGTAACTCTGATTCTCAGTTTACGAAAGTGTTTTGTTCATTTTATTCACAGAAAGCATTAGTTTTATACAATATCTTATAGATTTCCTAAATAGCCTCGGAATTGTATACAATTCCTAGGATATGCATAGATTATCGGTAACATCACTGTAAATCTAAATGCATTATTTTAACTCACTTAAGTGCGTTATTTGGATGTAGTCACTTTTTACACATTTTTATGTGAATTATTTCAAAATGCAACTTCATCCGCGTTAAAATACCCTTACAAGTGCTTCATTTAAACACGTTATCGGTACATTAACATAATAATATAATGCATCATTAATGTGTCAATTTTAGAGAAGCTGCAATAAACATAACCTCAAATAAGCATTTATTTCTTTCAATTTTACACTTGAGTTTTTAGATAGAACTGAAAACATGAAAGTATGAAATTGACTGAATATAAATTATCAAACCAAAAATAATGCATTGAAATTAATTTAAAAGAATAATTAACGTTATTCAGTCTTCATAAGATAAAATTAGTAGTACTTAAAAGAATTGTAGATTTGTATAAAAATCAATTCATTAGCCTTGGTATTTCGTTTATTCAAGCAATTTTCAATCTTTCGTTTTTATTGTTTTCGTTATTTTGCAACTGTTGAATTATTTTTTAATGGAGTTTCATACACCTCATGGGTTATATAGTCAAGTATACCCTGATAAGCCGAAGGAAATTCTCTGTGCCATACATAGTATGCAGCTAGCAGTCCACTGACTGATGTACAGGTTTTTGGATCAGGAATAGACACTCTGATAATTTCATCAGCAATAAACGCCTCAGCAATATTATCTTTATTTGTAAATGTTATCAATCGTGGTGCTTCACCACGATGTGCATTAGAACCACATCGGTCGAAGTTGAAACCTTAAATGAACAATCAATTATGAATAACCAATATTGTAGAAATATTAATATATAAAAAATACCTTTTAAAACCAAGAAAACCATGATCTGAAGCTCAGTAAAAATAATAGTACTTTTAAGTTTTGACTGACACATAGTAATAAATGTCATGATAGGTTAGGTTGTTCATATATGAATCGCGGATCATATGCGTTCAATAACCCATATAATGTGTGTAAATTAAATACAATTCATATAAATGAGTTATTTTGACACCTATGTTGGGCGTCAAGAAAATTACACACTTTATACAGATAAAAATAACGTATATCTCATGAATTATTAAAAATTACGCTCTTATTATGGGTTGAAATAACGCACTTGAATTTGCAGTGATGTATACTGAATAGCAATTCGGAAGTAGTTTTCGCTTAAATGAAATTAGAAAAGGTTTCAGTATCCTACATCTATTTACAAAAATTTCTGGGCAACTGTTTACACGGTTCACGCGTGTGTGACTAAAACGCACAGCGTAGGAAGATCATTTTCGTGAAATTCTTGTGAGAAACAGTTAGAGTTCTTGTAGACGAGTATATTGCATTAGTGTCTTGTACAGGTATACATATATGTATGTTACAGAAAACGTTGATAAGTTGACATTGTTTAAGAACAATCAACTTTTACGAAAAGTACCTATAAGTAAAAGGTGAATAAAAATAAACAGATCGATTTTTTGCTAGAATGAGCTAACTATGTCTGCTGTGGCTTACAAATTGATTTAGAGTTGTTGGCTCTTCAACTGTGCGTGCATATATTTGTTTTGTCGCCGCCAGGCAGTCGCCATTACTGGTCTATTTATTTAGTGTGTTTCAATAATTACTTTTAGTGTGCAATAATTACCTCAGACTCCAGGAGAGAAATGTTTTGTGAGAAAATGAGTACTCGATGTCCAAGATAAATTCACTGATATTAACCAAATTGAAATATGACAGCTATTACATTCACAATGTAAAAATCTAAAAACTGTGAATAAACTAGAAAGCAACGATTTCATTTTTTTTTTTGACGATAAAGCCTAAATATCCATGGACGTGGGAGGAGAGATTGTACAATTGAGCAATGGAAAGGAAAATTCCAAAACGTTACTACTGTTCGTTTCAAGAAGATAGAGATATGCCCCTTCCCTTTATTAGGATGCGCTGTAGCATAATTCCAAATTCAATCATATTTGTCCGCGGAGCTCATTTCTCCACCGATCATCGAGCGAAAACTAGACAAAAGTGTACAGTACCATTTGAAAAATTATTTAAACTGCCTCGTTAAAATTTAAGAATATGCTTTATTTAAAAGCATATTTAGCCAAAAATAATAACAAGTGAATTAACTTAACGTTCTACACACCTATAAAACTTTTGCTTTGTTTTCTATTGTTAACATTTGTATACATTTTTTTTGGTTTTAAGAAATTGCTAAACATTTTCGTCTAGTACTGTACAGTTCTAGCCGATCTCCTAAGACCGCCCATCGAGAGCTCTGCTCGTTCAAGCTTGCTCACGCCTAGTGTGTATTCTTTCTATCTTCGCGCAGATTTCTTCAAGGTCACAATTCTAACAAATTGAAATGGACTATACAAGGGGCATTTTACTATTTTTAAGCCTATACGAAGCCATGTGTTCAAAAATTGAAACTGAAAAGAAAGAGTTGGTTATAAAGACTTACTGATTGTATAATGGTCTAGTATTGGTAGTGCACAAGGATTTTTCAAATGCTTTTGCAACACAAAATAAAAATCCAAAAAGTGCACTTAAAAAATAAGGAAATGGTCTGCAACTCAAAGTGTCATAAAACTGTCTTGCTGTGACAAATGAGAACCATTTCTATCTGTTCATGTATTACCTATAAAAGTTTTCTGTTTTTATTTGTTTTTGGTTTTGTTCTTCATTAACTAGTAACTATTATAGGAATAAATCGAAGGAGTAATTGATGATGTTGGCCTTTCCACAAAAAAATGCTTCGTTTACCTCTTTCATTCCTTCAGCAGATTCAATTGTCTGAACTGCGTAATGACGTACAACTGCTTTATTCAATTATCAGTTTTATGTTCAATCTAATTCTGACTCTACTCAAATTTGCCCTTTCTCACAGTCATAGTAACTAATTGAAAGAAAAAACTATCAAAACAATAAGCCAGACTTTTTTGATGTGAAACTTCTTTACGCACGGTAGGGTAAGTTCGTTTCATGCGAGTTGCTATGTAACGAAATCATGCAACGGATGTCCCATTCTACTCGACCACGTAGTCGAGTTCGTAGTGGGGATCGCTTAAGCCGTGAGCGTGCTTCAATGCAACGTTCGTTACAGGCAACTCCGGCATGTATAGTGTAAAATTTTAATTCATAGTGTACAAATAATACCATTAAACCAATTCTTTAACCCCTATCCCGGTATGTTTGTGTGTTTGAAGAGGTTTCACTTCAGTAGCGCGTTGTATAATTACACGTTGTATTTTTTACTATAGAAAAAGTAAATAACAATAGGTACTTATTGTTGGAGTATTTTTGTTACGTTGTCTAAGCATTACGTAGAACAGCGTTTAATTAAAGTAGAATTACATAAATCATTTAAATTAAAAAGTTAACTTTTACTTACCTAATCAAGGCAGTAAGAGTATATTTTTACTCGGCGTCGTCAACTCGTACTAGTAAATGTTAATCAAAATTTATCGCTTTTCGCTTTAAAAAAAAATACTGAAAAGATCAGTAAGATTCGACTTCCTGTAACATATACATACTGTACCTATACGTATTGATATATTGAGATAACTCAAAAATATCGAAAAAGTTGAAAGAGGTTTGGTCCACATGAGTAAAATAAGATGGACAATTTGAGTAAAATCACTGTGTGAGACTACCCGAATAGTTTTTAATTAATCGACCAATCATCGGCTTCCATGACGGGCCTTATTGACGGCCAATTATTATAAACCGGCATCTATTTTAGACCAGTTTGAAAACCCTTGATGGTCAGTATCTTCACGATTTCGATAAACAGCTTAAAAAAATTACTTAAAACTATAATGAAAATTATTTCTAAAATTTGGAGAAACAATTGTACATTGTGCAAGGTATCTTGATTAAATAGTTCCACTTGTGTTAACAAATTACTTTATAAACTTCTGTAATAATTAATTCAAGATTTTGCACACTTTTATTTATTTACTTAAAGATTTGTTGTAGTTTTGGGTAAATTTTTTTTAATGTAAGCGATGCAATTGAAGGTTTTATTGTATTTTTCTTCGTGCACTTTTTGAATAATCCTTTTTAATGGTTTTTACTTAATAATTGTCAAGTCCAAATGAATCGTTAAGTGTAGAAATGCTCTCTCGTTATTGTCCTCGTGAAAATGGATATTTCTCGGTGACAGTAATTTTCTACAATTTCGTAAAAAGCTCCGGCCTAAGGGATAATGACAGAGTATTAGCTTTAATACTTTAGGTTTCGAGTACCTCAACTTAAACGTCCTAGCATTTAAATTAATTTATTTCTGTGTGATGAACATTATCTACCATCTAAAAAACACATATTACTCAGATGTAGCTGAAATTAGTTTAAATGATTCATGTAGTTCTACTTTAATTGAACGCTGAGCTATGTAATGCTTAGACAACGTAATAAAAATCCTCGAATAATAAATATTTTTATTGTCCTACCGTATTCGTAAGGTTTTGCTCTTTTTCTATTGGGATCCGTCAAATGGGAGGAGCCTAAAAACATGGCGTCGATTAGGGAAAATTTATCGTAGTTCCTATAGTGTACCGTGCAATTTCCAAATTTTTAAATTACGATAAAATGATAAGTATTGACACAATATGTGATTGGGCTGACACAAAGCCTCGGAAAGGAAATTTCGTTGAAGGTGAGCGTGTTTTTAATGCCAATCACATTATAAAATTCGGAAATAACAAATCCGGAAGATAGCCTTCAAATTCCGTCAAGTGTACTGCCTACTTTTTACAAACATCGGATTGAAAAAGTGATTCACGTTATATAATTGGTGAGATGATTCTGGGTGATTTAAGCAATATCATATCAATGACTTGCACGTGTAAATCCGATTTAATCCAAACACATTATTGCAACTTTGTTGTATTGCAGCAGGTAGGTTCTTAACCTCAAAATACTTATATCGTATCATTAGAATTGTGTTAAATCAATTATACAGGAATAAATAATTTCTCACTTTATAATTTTAGTATGATTCTAGTTTTAAATATTAAGGTTATGGCTGATGGTAAATACTTGCTAAAATATAATCATGTGCATTAAAATGACGTGAACAAATTTTTATTCCGGAATTCAGTTCTTTGATACCTACTGCTTTCATCCAAGCTTCTATTAGTTTACTTTTTTCTCTAATTTTCCGAATATATTTTCCACATATATAAAACGGTTAGTTTTTATTGGAAAGTAGTTAATGTAGGTGAAGAGTGAAGATCTATGTCTGAAGTGCTATTGCAGCTTTTCACTAAACATATTAACTTTTTATTTGATTTAACTTTAGAAGAAAACTTTTAATTTTTACTTTTTGACGTGACAACGTCCTATAATTCGATGGAGCCGGCTGCACGCACGAAAAAACATGACTCATGCGGCGTTACCTTGCTCTGAGGCGTTCCATTTAGGGCTTGAAGTGCAAACGAGAGCGCGGAACGAGCGACAAAGAGGCACAATCGGCCTCCGCGTTCGGCAGCGTTCGATATCTGTCTCTCTCCTACTTGAGTAAGCGATGCGTCCACGTGGACAGCTGCTATGCAATAATACATTTCCATTTACATCCTTCTCTATATCCATACAAAATATCTATCAAACAAATAAAATTAAAATTTTCATTTGAAAAATGAAACCATTCCATCAGTATTTTCTTATGACGTTGTCACGTTCAATTATCGTCAGTAAACTGACTTTACAGACAACCGATTTTTTTAACGTGTTTTGTTATTTTAATAAACAATTTTACAATTTGCGTGCACAGTTCCTATGTTTTTCCCTCATTAGAGTTATAAATTTTGCCATTGGTGTATGCCCATTTGACGGATCCCAATAGTAAATAAAATAAAAAAGGCTTCTTTCTTAACTGTTTTGATAGTTTTTTCTTTT